CTTCAGGGTATATTCCCAGTAGTGGAATTGCTGGGTCAAATGGTATCTCTATTTGCAACTTTTTGAGAAAGCGCCATACTGCTTTCCACAGGGGTTTGAAATAATATTAATAGTGAAGAAAGAAACTGGATTAGATGTTTCAGATTTCTTAGATAGTGTCAATTTTCATAAAGATAATGAATTTAAAAAATAGGAAGAAATGTTACTTGTTAAAAAGTGAATTTCATTCAAATAAGTCCATTGAAAGGTCATAAAGATATTTTTTGTACTATGCCATCCTTAATTTTGTGTAGAATTTTTATAGAATATTTCATTGTCTCTAAGAAAATACTATGAGTTTGTATGTTTGTACATTAAGCATTCTGTAATCATTGTCTAGCTAAACCTTGAGAATTCTTTGTCGAAGAGCAGGACTCACTCATGTGTTTTCTTGCTTCTTCTTGCAGACCCTTTGGAGGAAATAGCAGAAAATTCACCCCAAACAGCTGCCAACTCAGCAGCAGAGCTCCTGAAGCAGGGGGCAGGTCAGTATACATGGCTTTGTCTTTCCATGTTTCCTGTGGTTATTAGCACTCTAGCTACAGAAAAGAGGTTACATGATGCAGGGGGTTTTTTTCCACTTTCAAAATTTAGGTTTCTCATGACTGAATGTTTTTTCCTTTTCTGTTTAAAGACTTTTTTTTTTCTTTTTTGTAAAACCATACAGATCTAGGTAGAGGGGTAACAGTTGAACCTAGATTTCAGGCTGCAAATACTGATATGAATTTAGCAAGTTCAATGAAATGAATTTTAAGTCTTATGAAAACTGTAATGGCACAGAATGTGGATAGCCTTCCTTGCTAGCTATAAATCTAAAAATGTTAACAAGTTACTCACCGTGAGTCAGGAGTTTGACTGGCCCAGACAGAAGCTCCAGCTACACCAGGCCAGCTGGCTGCAGACCCCACTCTGCCTCAAGGAACATCTAGATGGCTGAGAGTGGGAGGCTGAGGACTTGCTGGGACAGAAGGGCTCTTCTATCTTGGCAGTCTGTGAAGAAGGGAAGCATCTGAGCACGTGGACACTATTCTCTTTATATCTGTTTGCTTGTAAAGATCCGTACTAAAAAGTTTGACCTTATGTCCCAGCTTTCCTAGGTAGTTTCAATTTCTACCTACACACCAACTTCGAAGCATTGAGTTACCCCTAAACACATGAAGTACTTTACAGGTAAGGGAGAATATTATTGTTGTTAGGTGTTATCAAGTCATCGACAACAATCCTGTGAATAGGAGATCTTGCACCATCATCACACACTGTCACACTCAAGCCCGTTGTTGTCGCTGTATCAGTCCATCTCATTGAGGGTAGGAGGGAGAAACATTACCTGTCTCTTTTGCAGGGAGAAACATTACAGGGCAGATTATTCATCCATATTAAGCAAATTACTCAGTGTTTCATTGTATGTATATTCCATGATTTGTTAGTATAGTCAGTCATTGTGAACACTTAGGTTGTTTCCATCTATTCACTATTGTATTGTAGTGAATACGATATACATATATCTGTTTGTGCCATCTCAGGGCTCTCGGGTGGATGCTGCTGTGTCAGCATGCAGGAGCCTGGGTTTGAACTCTAAATAAACTTTAATTCGGCTAATTGGCTCTGTGGTCTTTTCTGGAGACTTACTCTGTTACATTTGGAGGCCCCAGCGAGATCTCCCTAAATTCAAGCTAAACCCTGATTGCCGGCCAACGGAGTAACTGCATCGTCACCATAGGATTCTTCCTACCTGGCTGCAACACTTCCATGATACATCTTCAAGGATATGAACATGCACAGGCACAAGCCGAGACTAGGCAACACAGAGTACTCCTACAATAGCTTCTGACACGCCTCCAGGTAACAAACCCCAAGGCGGAGCCTAAACTGGAGGGGAGGAGCAGAGGGACCTGCCGCCACCAGCAGAAGCAGGAGCCAGAAGCTGGCGGGCTCAAGCCGAGACCAGGCAACACAAAGGACTCCCACAATAGCTTCTGACATGCCTCCAGGTGACAAGCCCCAAGGCGGAGCCTAAACCAGTCGGGCCCTCGGGCCAAGAAGAAAACACAATCTATACAGGAGTTCTATAGGACACATCACCATCCCTTTGGAGACAGTACAAGTAAACTTAAGAGACACTGAACACAGGAAAAGAAAGAAAACATCTCTCTGACAAGCTGTCGGGTCATGGGTCGGAAAATGGGAGATTAATTAATTCTGAAGGGATTTGGTAGAAGTGAAGTGGTATCCTGCTGGAGGGTGGAGCTGGGAAATAAGTGGGTCAAGGCACTGGGCTAAGGGCAGGGACTACACTGTAACTAATGGTCAACTCCAAAATGAGACAGACAAATTGCTGTCTGTCAGATACTCCTCTAAATCTAAACATTCAGATTAAGACAGACTAG